AGGGACACCAGTAGGGAAGGCCTCTTAAGAGATAAGCAACGCCAAGTGTTTTATCCTGCTTATCCAGCCCAGGGCTGCCACAGACAGCCAGGCACAGAGATGCATGACAGCGGTGAGCCCGGGGGAGAGGGGGTGCAACAGAGCATCCTGCCTCAGACTGACTCACAGAGGCATAGGGAACCTGCCGAGAAGACTGACGCAAGGGGAAGGGATGCTTTTATGAAGCGGTGTTGGAGGCCTTAAATCTTAAGAAAGATTTATTTATTTTTATTGGAAAGGCAGATATACAGAGAGGAGGAGAGACACAGAGGAAGATCTTCCTTCCAATGATTCACTCCCCAAGTAGCTGCAATGGCTGGAGCTGAGCCAATCCAAAGCCAGGAGCCAGGAACTTCTTCCAGGTCTCCCACGCAGGTGCAGGTTCCCGAAGTTTTGGGCCTTCCTCGACTGCTTTCCCAGGCTACAAGCAGGGAGCTGGATGGGAAGTGGGGCTGCTGGGATTAAAACCAGCACCCATATGGAATCCCGGGCATGCAGGGCAAGGAGGACTGGGCCCTGGGGGTTTTGTTTTAATGCAGGACTGACTGATAGATACTTCTTACATTTGGTTTCTATGTTGAAATTTTTATTAGAAATTTGAATCAGTCAGTACCAGAGAAGTCTCAGTTAAATAGGTGAGAACAAGTCTGAAGGAAATGATTAAGAGTCTTTTTTTTTTTAGCTCATCCTACACGTTGGAATTTAGTGAACACACACTAAATTTGGTTGACTATTAAAAATCCTCCAGGTGTTAGAATTAGGAGTTTCTTCAGCACCAACAGCTCCAACCTCATTTTGTAAACATAGAGGCCACGTAGAAATGAAGTGTACTGTGAAAACTCCACTTTCTGAAGCTCCCGCTTCCACTGTGACAATGTGACAAAAACATTAGACAAACCCACACAGTGGGCCACCCCCATCCAATCACAACCCTTCTGCTTGATGCTGCTTGGAGACAGCTCCAAGCTGTCTCCACCCATTCCTCCTCCATGTTGACCTTGCAGAGTGGGCTTCCCGGGACAGATCATCACCGAAGAGCATAACATGAGTTCTCTTCATGCATTCATTCATTATCTGATTCTTTCACTGGAATGTAAGGACCATGAGAATAGGACTTTTCATCTGACTCTCTACGAGGGCATCCCCAGTGCCAGGAATGCCTGGCACCTGGAAGGTACCTTTGCATCAGGAACACAACCAACTCTCTTGCAGCTTCTGCTAAGCAGTGTTCACTTCGCTCATCGAGTGTTAATTTTATATACATATATTATTTCATTGATTTATTCTATCAATTATGTACATGTTTATAATTATATAAAATATATAAATATGTTGCTTATATAATTATATATGAATATATATATATATATGTCTTCTAATCACAGACTTGCAATCACAGACTTACTTTCATCAAGTATCTTGAGTGTAGTCTGATATCATCTTGCGATAGATAAATCCCAGCTGCGCCATGGAGCTAGGAGTGAAAACTTTTATGACAACTTCTGACATCACTGTAGCCTCTCAGTAATTTATTTCTTTCTATAATGCAGCTGTCCCTTGTTTTCATTAGCTATCACAATATTCTAATCACTATGTACTGCAGTCTCCAAGAAAGGGAAAGCTCCCGAAGCAGTTTACATTTCCATTCTACATAGATCAAAGGTGTTATCCCAAAATCCTCTCAGTAGCATGCACAAGCATACACATTCACATGTTTACACACATTTCTAACATTTTGAAATATTCTGCAGAATAGCAAGGGTATTTATTCCTGAGAAGATGCAGCATAAAGAGCCCTTTGCAGTCTCACGGGACTCCCAGTCCTAATTCCATACACAGCACTTCAGCAGAATTGGAAATGGAACATTTCAAACACTGTGAAAAGGCAGAGAGGTTTCCAGAAATATGGCATGAGTGACAGGAACTACATCAATCGACATATTGAACACTCAGGTAAGGTTGGGAACAATTGGTGGTGATCACACCGCATTCCCAATGGAAGCGTAAGCAACTCAATTAACCTCTCTCTGGTATGTTCTCATCACGTGTAAATTGAAAGTAACAATCTACCTTGTGGAGATTGCACAGGGATTTGCTGACAAACGAGAGTAGACAGCTATCTGTGTGATATTATTTAACAACATTATGTTAACAGGCATAGAATCATGCAACTATTGGGGACTTGAAGGGTCAGTCCAGTTTTATCATGTGGGACTACCATTACAACATTCTAGAAGGATTACATTCTAATCCTTCTTCAAAGATGTTGGCTCATAGAGATTCTCAGACAGCCCAGCTTTGTCAAGGATGTTTTGGTACATTTAAGACACCTCAATCCAGCAGCAGCATCACTGTACCATGTTCCTCCTCCTCCCACATGGGAAGAAGACCAGCAGCTGCACCACCTCCGACAGGCATCTGCTCCCTCTGAGGCTGCCACAAGGCTGAGTGATGGTGACAAGCACAGCAATTGGAGTCGGACAAGCTTAGGTTCCATGGGATTTTATTTCATGCTGGCCACATGACCAAGCAAGTTGCAACCTCAAGTATCAGTCTCTTGCCAGGGGGATCAAATACATGATATTATATCTTCTGGGCTTAACAGTACAAATCACTCTAATTTTCATTTATTTACCACTCTTTTTGATAGTTTAGTCACCTCCCCCCTTCTTCTAGATCCATTCCTAATTGCCACTGGTTGCTACAGACACAGTGCCCAGAATTGTAAGTAACAGCTGACTGCACTGAGTACTTTGCAAAGATTTTTGTCTCATTTTCCCCAGGATCACCATGTAAAGGATAAATCCTGTGTCATTAGGTTACAGTGAGGAATCTCCTTTAGGCTCCTGTGTCCTCTCTCGCCTTGACCCAAGTACCGCAAAAGCCACAGGTCTCACATGGCATCCTCTGGATTCTTGGAAAGTCCAGTGTTTGTGCAGTTCCAATACCTCTTTGGTTTCCACTCAAACCTCAGGACACACAGTACACAGCTGTCTAAGATTATACAGATGGACTTTACATATTCAAACAAGTAACAAAAAATAACTTCTGCAGCAATGTGGGCCAAAAAATTATAATGACAAAAAGAGTGAGTGAGTGCCGCAAAAGAGAAAAGAAATTACACTTTCTCCATATCCTTTCCCACATCTGTCAGTAGTTGGGAACTGTAACTAGATTCCTCAGGGTGCCTGGGGTTTGCCAGAAGGCAGAGTGGCCTGAAGAAGCTTGTTTAGTTAACCTAACCCCTAGAAGAGATTTGAGATGCTATTAAACAGAGAGAAAAGAGTGATTGCTTACTTTTCCCTGCCATTTAGAAGGAGAAGCACTGGCCCCCATGGAAGTAGCCAATCCCTAGAATGGGGTAGTTGTGTGGCATGCACTTTGGGACAACATTGGGACTCTAACATAGCATCACAAAGATTGCTATGTTCTGCAGTAGTTATGTAAACAGGATCTCAGGAGCTTAAGGGGCCTGAGAGAGATTGGATAGTCCATACTAGACTGGAAATTGTGATGTCTGGAAAGTAGAGGCTCCTCTGGGTATCACTATAATGCCCCTGGAGAGGGGACTTCCTGGGTACCACAGGATCAGCTTTCTCATTCACCTGAACATCTGAGCATATAGACTATACCTATACTCACAGAGCTTGGAGCTTTGTCATTTACCAACCACTTTCGCATTCCTAATCTCCTATGCTTCTGGCAAAAAGTTAGAATGAAAGCTATCTATTCCATGCCTGGCTCTGGCTTTCAGTGTTCAAATACTACATATATATTTGAAAACATTTATTTATTTATTTGAGAAAAGCTGAGGCTGAAACAAGTGAAAGCCATGCCAGGCGATCTCCCATACAGGGGTTAGGGGCCCAAGCACTTGGCTCATCTTCAGCTGCTCCCCTCGCACATTAGCACAGAGCTGGATCTGAAGTGCAGCATTTCAGGCCCTAACAGCTGCTCATATTGGGTTCCAGTGTCACAGGCAGTGACTTAATCAATTGCACCATAATATTAGTTCACTAATTCTGTTTACTTCTTACCGTGCTATGCAGACTGTGTCTGAAGTCTTAATCTGACCTTGAAACACAGTCTTTCCAACTGAGGATACGTTCTAATGTGAAATTACAGTAACTTCAATAAGTTGATTTGTAAGACACCAAATTGCAACATGCTTATAGTGATGCTGTCAAATAAACACTGAAAACGCTGAATGAGAATAAAGATTCACAGATACTCTTGCAAAACGGTAAAGGGCAGTAGGGTTCACCTTGTTTGGTGGATTACTTTCTTACATTCACATTACTTTTTCACATTCAAAATTCCCTTTAATAAATATGTTATACTTACAATGAAAAATATAACAGTCATGAACTATCCAGCTATCTTGAGAGTCAAGCGACCACCCAACAGCAAGGCGACTCTCAGGAAATGATACCTTCCTTTTCACCTTCTGACAACTCATTGATGATCTGATTATTGAGTTAAATGACCCAAGATGTCATCCCTTCCCTGCAGGTAATATGCCAAGGTAGGGCAGGAATCACTTCTAAACGTTGACAAAATCCCAGATTTCGCCCTTAAAAGGACTGATTCCTATTCAGCATGGCAGATCAGCAGAAATAACAAACTGAACTTGACAACGAACCCTGGGTCTCGCAGCTGTCCACAGTGGTCTCAAAGAATGTCTGTGTGATAGTTCTGAGAAGGCAACTGTGAGGAGGATGCTACGTGAGGGACTCAGCTCTTTGAGATCATCTGTGACTCAAAGGGCTTGTTGGAACAGACAAAAGGATCACTGTTGTACAATTCAGCCTCCCATTTCTCTCACGAGCATTCTGGAATACTTCTTATGTAGAAAAACCAAAAAACACACACAAGTGTTCTGGGTTTCAGTCCTATCTCACTGGATCACACAGAGGTAAGCCCAAAACCACCCAGAATCTTTACAAATCATGCTTACTCACCTTCACATAGTCCAGTGCTCTCCAAGTAAAACCGGGCTCTGCACTGGGGCAGGCATTCCCCATAGGGGATCTGGGCCCTAGAAACCTGCTGGACTTGCAGTCCCTCCTCGGGCTTTGCACACCTGGTGCATTGAGAGGGCTCAGGACCCACACAAGCCAGACAGGATGGATGACAGTCTGTGTGGAGGAACAAAATACAGAAAGTAACCCAAGCATCAAGTACATGTTGCGGCCAACAGGTGTCCATCCTTAATTCAAAACCACCTAGAAAAGCTCAGCAGGCGTGTACTTATTTTCCTACACAAAGCAAATGGGGATACTAGCATCTCTAAGAGGCACAGTGATAGGAGTGGTATAAAAGCCACATCTCTCAGGTCAGTGTGGGCTGGCTGTCTGGCTAGGTCATAAAAAACTCATGGCCTGGTCAATACTGGCTTGGCTCTCTGGGAAAGAAAAAGCCCTGAATGATGCTTTCACATGATGTTCTCAGGTGTTACTGAAGACTTCCAGGAGCATTTAGATGAAGACTATTATTATGTCCTTTGCAAAATCAGTCATGCATTATTACCCAATATGTCATCCCTTGTACACAATGTAGAGGTCTAGACAAGAAATTTCTCTTACTATTTATCTGGAGAAAGGCTGTTTTCTGAGCAGTAATGAAAACCTCACATAACAGTTTGTTTTCCTTCGCTGCTGGTGTAATCAAACACTACTCAAGACGATCTCATACCCACATTTTGATACAGTCAAGCTTCCTTTTCTTTACAAGACTCCAGAGTCAGAATTTTCTTTCTCTCTCTCTCTCTCTCTCTCTCTCTCTCTCTCTCTCTCTTTTTCCTGCTAAAGGTCATTTGGATATTTACAGCATTATTGCTGGACCATACCAAATTATTGGCTTAACAACTAGCCTGCTATGCATTAATTGCAAATCGTCTGACCTGTTGCCTTGACAGGGTCAGACTAAATGATTTAGTAGTTTGTGGGCTGGACATCCCCCAACCCAGCTAGATTCTTTTTCCAAACATTTGCTGCTGCTGCTGCTTCAATGTTTTAAATAATTTATTTTTCCTTAGAACTCTCCTCAAACTCTTTTCTAAGGTACTAACATAAAAATAAATGCAAATTAATTCCACTTAAAGGGTTTGCTCCAGTGTAGTAGTTTCAGATGTCCCAATGTGATTACTCTTTATCAATGTGCCCATAGCCTTTTGGGAGATGGTTACTCAAGATTTCTCATTTGACTCATCCCAAACATCTTGCCAGCGACACCTAACTCTCTAAGCAGTGTCATTAAGATAGACGTTTTCCTGGGAAATACAATATCAGTCTAGCAAAAATAGTAGCAATGTTAGGAGAATAGAGAAGACAGACATAGGAGTTAATTCTCTTTTAAAGTATGGTGATGGAAATCATATTTCTCATAAGCATAGCTAGAGAAATCAGCAACTTATTGAAATGTCTACAAGTTTGGAAATGCATGTTTTCTTCAGATTATTCCTTTGTGAAATAATTATAATGAAAAGGATGTATACATATTCCTCCATCAGCATCAGCAGAGACTGGTGCCAGGACCTCTGTTGGTAACAAAATCTGCAGATGCTCTAGTGGATTCCGTACAGCAGTTCTGTCTTTGCACAGAGTCTAACCATATCTCCCCATACCCTTCAAATCACCTCCAGACTGATACTAACACTTAACTCTATCACTTTAAATGAACCCAGCATAACACTCAATATGCAGTATAAATTCAAGTGTTATTTTTCTGAACTTGGTAAACTATTTCCTCCCCAAATACTGTCAATCCACAGTTGGTTGAATATTTTCAACTTATACATGTGGAATCTGCAGATAACATGGCCAGCTGCAATGTATATGTAGCCATATAAGATATAGCAGAAGAAAAGTTGCAACCGAAAATGGTATCATCAGTAAAAAAGTCAAAGTCAACCTATGCCCTTTGATGGGGCAGTATTTTATGAAAGATGATGATGATACTGATCATACCTTTGCAGATGCCATGGTCAGGGTAGTAGCCTTCTGTACAGCTGGGTAGGCAGTGGCCTTGATGCAGAGCCTGGGGGTGCACACAAGCTGTGCAGTGAGAGGCGGTGGGTCCGGAGCAATTGGCACATGACTTATCACAAACTGCAAGGGAGTAAGAAGTGAACACGCAGGGACCAGGTGAAGATAAAGCCCACTTTCTGTCTTGGCTTTACATGACATAGCAAGCCTATTGAGCATTTGAAGTCCCCTCATCAAGATCTCAAACCAGGCCCAAGAAGATGAGGGAGCAGGTGGCTATCCTGCCAACACTGCTCACACAACCACTTCTGCTTTTATTCATGTGCTAGCTACTACTTAATACCCAACTTTTGTTTAGTGTTTGTAATAAGTGCTGTTTACAAATGATCACTTTTAATCCTCTTAACATCACAATGGGTGTTATTAACTGCATTTCTTAGATTTAATTATTTTTATTGCAAAAGCAGATATACAGAGAGGAGAAGAGACAGAGGAAGATCTTCTGTCCATTGATTCACTCAAGTGGCTACAAAGGCCAGAGCTGAGCTGATCCGAAGTGAGGAGCCCAGAGCTTTTCCTGGATCTCCTGAAAAATGTGGGTGCAGGGTCCCAAGGCTATGGGGTTTTTGCAACTGCTTTCCCAGGCCACAAGTAGGAAGCTTGATGGGAAGCAGGACCACTGGGATATGAAGTGCCCATATGAGATCCCAGTACACGCAGGGTGAGGACTTAAGCCACTAGGCTACTGCACAGGGCTCTATTAACTGCATTTTAAAGATGGGAAAATTGAGATCTTGGGACACTAAAAAGTTGCACAGATGCCATTCATAGCAGGGTTGGGATTTAGCTCTAGGTCTTTCTGGACCTAAATCCCAGACTTCCCAAATAGAAAAGTGCAGAGAGTTTATGGGTTTTACTGTTGGGAGTACTAGAAAATTTGATTGGCTTGAACTCAATTAACACCATTAGGCAATGTCTAGTCTCTTGGCACATCTGCAGTGAGAGAGTAGACTAAATGATCATTACAAAGCTTCCAGCCTTGATCTTTCAGGATTCAAAGTATGAATTACATTATCACTGTATAGAATCTGACTACTACATATAATAATGTCAAGAATACACCTCCCTTGCTTTTGACCTTGGTTTTAACAATGGAATATCTCTGACTCCAAGAGACAGGAGGTGATAACACGGCCCTGGGTGAGCGCTTTGGCAGTGCCAAGAACACTAGTGAGACAAGCAGGAAGGCTCTGGAGTGCTGGTCAGGAGAAGGATGCGGGTACTTAGGAGACACAATGAGGGACTTAAGTGAGTAAACAGGTTGGGAGGCAAAGGAGAGGAATAGGCAGTTGTGGTGGCACTGTCCAAATATCTTACTCTTATAGACTTTAACTTTACTACCTATAAGATTTTGTTTAAATGTAACTTGTTGTTTTTTTAAGTGAGTTGAAGTTGTGAATGTACGAGTTTATAAACGCCACGGAATGATTTTGTCATGCCTACAGCCTAAACTGGTGATGGTTTACATATAGGGTTGGCCAAGAGCCATTTGGATATTTATAACATCATTTGTTGGCCATCCAAAATCATTAGCTTTAAAATTAGCCTGCTATAGATCTGTTGAATTTCAGATCTTCAGGGCAATTTTCTCAGCAGAACCAGATCAAATGATCTCAAGGTCCTTATATGGTCCTTGAGCTACACATTGCTCACCTCTGCGAAAACATGAGGACTACATGTTAAAGATGTTGTTAGCATCACAAAAAAGCTAAATGAACTCTGATGATGATTAATGTGCTGGCGTCCTTCATTTAATCACCCTAGCTAGCCAGCATCCATCCATGTTTCCCACTCCTAAATCAAGCACAGATGAGTTCTGTAATAAAAAGGATATCCTCTTTAAAGCAGCATTTTCGCATCACACAAATTCCTGCATGGGTAGCGCAAGGCATGACATGTGAAGCAGTATGAAATATTTCGCACGGATTATGACGATTATGTGTCTCTCACCTTTGCACTTGCCCGACTCATCAGCGTAGTACCCTCTGGGGCATTCAGAAATGCACTTGCCATTATGCAACATGGTCTTCTCAGCACAGGTAAGGCACCTGGGAGTACTGGGGCCACAACTCTTACAGGACTGGTCACAAGCTAAGAGGAAAGAAAGTCCATCAGAGGCAGGCAACAGCAAGCAACAACACAGGGAGGTCGTTCTCAGCGTGCTCCTCCCTGCACCCAGGCAACACTCTCATTCCCAGGCTGTGCAGCAGGGTAGTTTCCTTGATTCCAAGGACTCCAGCACTCCAGTCGAAGGAGAATTGGAGAATTATTCACTGAACCGGCATAACAAACCCTCTGAAGCACATCCAGTAGCATATCCAATTTAATATGGAATTTAAAATTAAAATGGCCCTGGAGACAAGGTTACCATATTTATCAAATAAAAATATTGTACCCCCGGTTAAATTTGAATTTCAGTAAATAATGTAGAATTTTACTTAGTGTGTTTGTACCAAGCAGTTTATAAACTCCCATGCCTCTTTTTAACTACACTTGGAGGAAGAATTCAGAGCGTCAGTGTTCTGTTAAGATGATATCACTAAAATTATGTTGATAGCTAGATGTTTGGTGCTGCGATTAAGACATCACTCGAGACTTTTGCATCTTACATTGGAGTGTCTGGTGTTTGAGCTTTTTACTAACACATATGCTGGGAGGCAGCAGATGATCCATTAAAATACTTGGGTTTCTGTCACTCACATGAAAGAACCAGATTGAGTTCTCAGCTCCTAGCTTCGACCTGGCCCTGCCCTGGGTCACTGAAGGCATTTGGGCAGTACTGCATAGGAGCTCTGTGTCTCTATCTCCTTGCCTATCAAATAAACAAAAATTATGTTGAAATTGTGAAATTGTACATAATTTTGCAGGACCTACACATTCATCTATTCATTCATTTAACCCTTGCTCCACAAAGCACTTTAGGTCTGTGTCAGAGATCAAATCAACATGTTTTCCACTTAAAGAGACAAATCCATCTAAAACAAGAAAACAAAATAACCAATATCAAAAAGAGCACTTTGATTACTCTGTACAGGCACAAGAAAAATGGCAGACATCTTTCTGGTTAAGAATGGATTCATAGAAGTGTCCCTTAGGCAATGTCCTGGGACTCGAGTTGGATTATGCTGGGCTGAGGAGAAACCCTTCACACTGAAGCATCAAGTAAGCCAAGGTTCAGCACCTGGGAAGGTGGGAGCTATCACGGGCACCGACTGTTTCACTGGGCAGAAAAAGAGGAAAGGATCAGATTAAGGCAACCTACAGCCAGACTCTGTGGTCTAGAATCTCACCTTGACTAAGGCACTGAGAGCCTCTGCAAAGCATTATGTAGAACAGAAATACATGGCTGAATTCATGTGCAAGAAAGATGGTTTGTCTTCAGCTGGAGAGAAGGATGGAGGGGGTAACAACATGAAACTGGGCTTGGCTAGAAGACCATGGCTTCATGTAGGCTCAGGGGGAGGAGAGAGGTTCAAGAAGGGGAGGAGAGAGGCTTGAGAGAGGAGATTTGTTTTAGGAGAGGAACGAAGCCATCCACAGGATGACAGAAGGGGAAGCATGAGGTTATGGGGAGCTCAGCCAGAATTTGTGTGGTCCTGTAGACACCTGATTTATGTTTCAAGGTCTCCAAGAGAGGTCTGCAGATGAGCCCACACAGATAGTGGCTGAAACCAGAAATAAGTTGATTTATTCAGAGAAAGGATGCAGGAGAAGATAGCAGTAGGCAAAGATCTGGGGAATATCAACCTTTTACAAAAAGGAAGGGGGTGGTGGATTAGCAAAGGTGACCAAGAAGATGTGACTCATGAGTAGGAGAGAAAGAGGAAGCTTCAGGGCTGAGAAGCTGGGTTGGGCAGGGGGCAGTTTCTAGAGAGAAGTCGTAAGCAGTGTAGGGAAGACACTTGTCATTGGAAGAGGTGCTATTGCGATCCAATGCTGGGGTGTGTGGGGTCTGTGCTGTATGAATCGACTGAAAAGAACAGTCTATTCCATGAAAAAATGAGGACAGAAAGAGCTTAAAGGGTAAGCAGTGGCTATAGCATACTAATATTAAAGTACAAGTCAAACATTGAATGTGGGGGTTTGAGAAGAGCTTGAATGAAAACAACAAGGTGACAAAAGGGGTGTATACTTTTTAAAAGAATGTATGTATTTGAAAGGCAGAGTTACCAGAAGGGGGTATGATGAGAGAGTGAATAGAAAAGGAAGGGAGGGGTGAGGAAAGAGAAAGAGAGAAAGAGAGAGAGAGAGATAGAGAGAGAGAATATGAGCAAACATGTTTTTCTGTCTGCTGGTTCACTTTCCAAATGGCCACAACAATTGGAGTGTAAAGCTGTGAGTCAGGAGCTTTTCCTGGTCTCCATGCCCAGCGCAGATGCCCAGACAGTGGGTCACCTTTCTGCTGCTTTCCCAAGTGCATTAGCAGGAAGCTGGATTGGAAGCGGAGACACAGGACTCACACAAGGCCTCAGCACTGGCCGCTGGCGATGTACTTTGTAAGAGCATAGGAGGAAGACTGATGTGGAAGGGAGCAGAGACGGGTCTACTTGTCCAAGAGGAGGTGACAGGGGACAGGCACAGCTGTGGGGAAGCACATGACTCCAGTCACCCACCACGCCCTGGCTAACTTTCCTACAAACAAGCGAAGCAACCTTCTTTACAACGCAGAGCATCTGCATTTTCGAACAGAGCACCACTGAGCCCAATTCTGTCTGTTCCTTTAAAGCACCTTCACCCTACCGACCTGAAAACCAGTTAAGAATTTCAGAAAAAAAAGACACTAAAGGATTAAGCCAAATATTCCATCCTGGAGGATTCAGAATCTATTTATGAGCAAATGTGCTGGGTGTGATAAACTTGAATAATGAGTAAAGAAATGGGCTTACTGTGGAAAAAAGCGAAACATCTCTCAATTCTTGACTCCAATAAAGAAGCAAAAATGGATCTGAGGAGTGTTTTACCCTCTCGCTATACCACAACATAAAGAGTTTTGAAGTTTCTAATTTTAGAACCAACATCTCAACAGGACAAAATAATCTATAAGCTAAATCAAATTTGCTATCAATAAAAAAAATCACAAAACATTCAAAAAAATAAAATTAACCAACAATGAAAATGATATACAAAACATTACAAGAATGTCCTAAAGCAATATTTAGAAGGCAAGTCTTATATTTAAATAAAATCATTAGGAAGATGCCATTTCTTTCCAAGCTAATCTATAACACTTCAATGAAGTTTCAGTATGAACTTCACTTGAATTTCCTTAGGGATTTGATAAATGAATAGTTTAGTCAACTTAGAAGAAGAAAAGACAAGACATTTATCCCAAAAAGCTATGGGTACAAGCTGAAAAGGCAATACAAATGAGCAAGTTAACGGAGTGAGATCTTTACCAGAACAGAAATTTGGACTGCAGAGTGTCTGATGAGCCCTTATATGCATAGTAACTAGACTCAATAAATGTGGATTAAGAGGTAATGTTGGGAAAACTGGAGCATGGAATGCAGAAAAATCAAACTAGATCCCTAATTAAATCCACAAGTATAAATAGATTCATGCATGAATAATCTGAAGGTAAAATGCCAAATTAATAGAAGAAAACATAGGCTAATTTATTTGTGAATATAAACAGAATAGATCTTAAACCAAACTTCAAAAGCAAAACTTTAAAGTAGAAAGTAATGAATTAAAGATTCTTATTCAACAAAGGGCATCACATTCATGTTAAATGACAACAGGATGGGGGATATTTGCATATTTAAAATATACAAGAGTTAATAGCTATAACATATACAGTGGATGCCATAAAAGGTAGCAAAGAATAATTGAAAAGCATATTAGAAAGCATATATGAAGACCAACTGGAGTTGAAAATAGACTGCAGCCCTGTGACATGGTTCAGTGTCTCAATCCTTGTCTTGCAAGCACCAGCATCCCATATGGGCACCAGTTCATGTTTCAGATACTCCACTTCCCATCTAGCTCCTCGCTTGTGGCTTGGAAAAGAAGTAGGGGATGGCCTAGAGCCTTGGGACCCTGTACCTGTGGGGGAGACCTGGAGGATGCTCCTGACTCTCTTGGCTACTGACTTCAGAACAGCTCAGCTCTAGCTATTGTAGCCACTTGAGGAGTGAACTAGTGGATGGAAGATCTTTCTGTCTCTCCTTCTCTCTGTAAATCTGACCTTCCAATAAAATTAAATCAGTTATTTTTTTTAAGAAAAGAAATAGACTTATTAACAATCAGAAATATGCAAATACATGGGATGACCCTTTACCTGTACTACCCAGCAAACATAAGAATCTTGATGTTGCCAAATGGGTGTGAGTATGTATTTGTAAGAGAACCCTCAGTCTCAGAGTCCAGAGGGTGGCGGTCATGCAGGTGGACAGTCCAGAGCTACTTAGTCAATTAAAGAAGTTGAATCCAGAAACCAGCAATTCTGCTCCTGGGTATAAACCCCAGCAAAGCTCCCGGAGAGGTCTGTTAAGAGACTTGTTGCTCTCTGGCGCTGGTGTGTGGACAGTAACCAAGGAGAGAGCCCTCCCACGAAGTAGTAAGAGCGAAATGTGAGGACACGCAAGGACTGCTGCACAGTTGTGACAAGGAGAGGTCCAAGTGACAGAGTGACACAGGTGAATCTTAAAAAATACAGCCTGGAGTGAGAAACAGGCACTGCACAAACGCTGTAAAGCACCATTTAAGGAATTAAGTGTACATACTTCCAGAACAAAATACTCAGCCTAGAAAAGTTCATGAAGGCAAAAAGATGAATACAATCAAAATGCTTGTCTGGACAAGGCAAGAGAATATGGAGGAAAGAAAGAGAAAGAAGGGAAGGAAAGAGAGAAAAGAGAGGTAAGGAGACAAAGAGAAAGATAATATGGCTACCAGAATCCTCTAGACTCTGCCTTATTATGGTGGGTAGACTCATAAGAGTCCTTTACAACAGCCCAAGTACTTAAAAGAATGAGGTGGCTTTCCCTCTGATGGCTCCACCATTCCTATCTAATATTTGCAAAACTCAAAACACATACCACAGATGAATTTCCATTCTCTTAAGTTCTTTCAGCCAGGGCATACTACCACTTAATAACAGGCTATGCCAGATTTTTCTCAGCACTTGACTTTGAGATTTCTGCAGATATGGTTGGTCGGGTATAAATTATTAAACCAACACCAGCAGGTCTTTATTTTCAGTAGCACTAATCTGAATAGGAAATAAGACAACATTATCAGCATCTTAATTAACATCTTGATACCAATCAGTGATTTGGGTCCCCATTGTTTTAGAAAATATTTCTGTGAGCATTCTGAAGTGCCTGATACAAATGTGCAAGCTCCAGTTTCTCTGCATGAAAAAGCCTGCTTGTTGGTGCTAGTGCATTGGCTCAATTGGCTAATCCTCAGTCTACAAGTGCCAGCATCCCATATGGGGTTCCACTTCCCATCCCATAAAATCCCTGCCTGTAACCTATGATAACAGCAGAAGACAGCTCAAGTTTGGGACCCTGTATTCATTTGAAAAACATCAAAGAAGCTCCTGGCTCCTGGCTTTGGCTCAGCTCAGCTCCAGTTGCTGTAGTCCTTTAGGGAGTGAACCAGCAGATGGAAGATCTTTGTCTCTGTCTCTTTCTCTCTAAAACTCTGCCTTTCCAATTTAAATAGATAGATGGATAGATAGATAGATAGATAGATAGATAGATAGATAGATAGATAGATAGAAAAAGGAGCTCTCTGCTGCTTCTCAATGGCACCCTGGTTGACCACCTGCTTTTTGGACTCCTCCAGTCCACACGGGGCTCTGGCCTGTTTTCACTCAGCCTCTAAGCACAAGAGCATTTCTGCCTCTTCTGTCCCAAGACTTCCCCCCATTTGTCCTGCTTCTTCAGAAAAAGCGTCTTTCCCAGAATCAGCACTGTGGCACAGCAGGTTGGGTTGCAGCTTGCCATACTGTCATCCCATAAGGAAATGCATTCATGTCCTAGCTGCTCTGTCTTTAAGTCTCTGCTGATGTGCCTAAGAAAGCAGCAGAAGAGAACTCCAGTGCTTGGGCACCTGTGCCCTCCTGGGGCATCCAAATGGAATGCCTGGCTCCCAGCTTAGATGGATCTCTCTCTTATCCCCATATTTAGCCATTGCTCTGCCTGCCTATCAAATAAATAAATAAATCTTTTTGAATGTGTTTTTCTCATTCTAGATAATGTCAAGCCACAAGTGCAGGTCAGTGTCACCACTGCCCTGTCAGTGACAGTGCCCAGCTTCTCCGGGGACTTAACGGATAACTGCCTTGAGGCATTCGGATTAGTGCAAATGTGACATCTGTCAACCTTCAGAGAACACATCTGGCTTAATGAGTGGGAAAGTGATGCTGGCAGAAAAAGATGAACACTCCGAGGCAACTGGCAGCCTGGCCTCACCTCCCTCCTTTGCTCTCAGAACCACATCCAAACCACCTGTGACTCAGCCATAGCTGGCGAGACTTTTCCCACTAGCAATGTTATGGGGGCTCAGCCAGGTTTAGGCAAACAGCTATTAAAGGCAGCTCTCCTCCCCAGGACCCAGAAATCTATCGAGACATAAAGACCATGTTCTTTTGCTGAACAAAAGAACTCAAGAAAGTTTCTCGAACAGACTATTTGAATGGATTTAATGGACTCAGTTATGAAAAACCTTCCTGTGCCTGTGACCTCACTCAAACCTTTCCTTCACTGTCAGGGTGTCCGGCCATCCAGAGATGAACAGCAAGACACGGAAGAAGAGGAGGAAGGAAGAATGGTACCATGAGGAGGGAAACCAGCAGAGCACCTTAACCAGTTTGACAGAACAGGGAACAAAAGAGCATCTAGTGGCCGATACAGTCTAGAGCCGGAACATCCAAACTTGAATCCTAATTCTGCCCCTTAGTAACACAGCAAACATCTGACTATTTCCTCACTATTTACTATAGGAAATCGCAGTTGCTGAGAAGGTTATATGAATCACCAGCATGACACTGGCCTGCTCTAATTGGTGTGTATACATTCAGCTAGTCCTCTGAATTAAAATTGGGTGAGCATCTGCTTTTTACTACTTCTGTAATCAATGATCACAAACTCCTTAGCTCAAAGCTGTACAAGTCTATCATCTTAGGATCTTATGGATCAAGGACTCAACAGTGAAGCATTCCTCTGGAAGCAGCTCAAGGAAATAAGTCATTTCCTCATGTTTTCTAGCTTACAAAGGCTGCCTACTGACACCTGCATCCTTCCTCACATCTCCACATCACCCTGACCACTGCTTCTATCCTCATGTCATCTCTTCTGTCTTGACCATGCTAATTTCTCCTTATAAGGATTCCTGGGATCACACAGGACTCACCCAGATCATCCAAAATAACTCCTGCCCACCTCAAGTTGCTTGACACATTTATACCTACCAAGATCCCATAGCAAGCCAAAATAGCACACTCTCAATGCAGACTACTTTGGGGATAGGAATGGAAGAGAAAGGGGAAGGGAGCTGGTAGTCCTGTTGTCACAGGCACTAGTATTATTCTATTTTACAGGCAGGAAAGTGACTTGCAAAGAGGTAACTTGCTCAAAGCCATGCTTTCCGCTCACATTGTCCTGCAAGCATCTTGGTGGCTATTTGTAAAGTGCTGGGGACTGTGCTGGAATAGGCAAGCACTGAGCTGGGGCTACTCTAACTGCTGGGGCCAAGGATGCTGCAGCTGGAATGAAGAGTGTAGCTACCGCAGCTGCACATGAGAGGCACCAACACCCACGGAAAAGCCACCTATAGCTGGCCTTAAGAGTCCTTTTGTCTCCTGGTGTATTCAGAAGGCACTCTGGCCTCGATGGAGAGTTTGGGTTTGGAGAGAAAGGCCTGGGTGGGATCCCACACCTCTCCCTATGATGTTGGCCTTGAACAGGCAGCCAGGGCTTCACTTTGATCATTCACAGGATGAGGCTACAGGAAACATCCCAATCCTAACCAACTGCAGGGATCAGAGAACTGAACTCCACTAGTGAAAAGTATGCTGTGAAGTACTAAGACAGTCTCAGAGTCAGAAGCCAATGGCATATAAAAGGTCTTTAAAAATGAGAACAATGAACAAACTACATACGGATTTCCTTCTCTGTTGTGCCAACCAAACATGATGTGCAAGTTTAGTGCAATGAAATAACAGCCCCATCCTATCTGTTCATAAGGCAACTGATTATTGGTACTATAATTTGATATGAGAAAATGTGCTTGGGTATCCCAAGCCGGTACTTACCATGACAGGTCCCCTGCCTGTTGTAGAAGCCGTCACCACAGCTGCTCTCACAGCTGCCCTCTCTCAGCACATGGAGGGGATCCCTGCAGGACACACAGTGCTTCTCCGTTGGACCCCAGCAGCCTGCGCAGGACTCATGGCAGACTGCAGACAAAGAACAAAATCAGTGCACAGCAGATGACAGAAGAGGCTGTTCATTATTTTCCTTTCAAAAGTCTCAAGATTGAGAAGGAGGATGTTAGTTGGTTCCTTGGTTCTTAATCTGCTACACGTATATGAGGGGACCTCAAAATGGCCATGGAGAATGACATTAAAAGACAACATGCACATTTCAGGAGTCGGACATCTCAAGAGAAATAAAAATAGATCTATTAGAAGTATTACTTCAGTAAGTTCTAGTTAAGGGACTTGGAACACAAAATCAGAGGGAGTTAAAGGGAAGGGAATCCCAACTGTGGAGACAGAGATGAGTTTACGCTGTTTTTCATCTGGTTGCCTGTTGGAGTCAAATGATCAAAGTGTCAACAGGACAGCCACTTCCAACCTCCGCTGTCATTAGCTAGGGAAAGAAACTATTCACCTTCAGTTTTTAAAAAATTTATTTATGTGAAGTCACAGTGACAAAGGTAAGAGTAACACACACACACAATTAATTATCCACTTCTCACTCCCCAAAATGGTCTCAACAGGCAGCCCCAGGATGAAGCCAGGAGGAGCCTGGAACTACATCCAGTTCTCCCACATGAGTGGCAGAGACCCAAGCACTTGTGCCATTGTCTGCTATCTTCCCATGGAACAAAAAGCTGTATTGAAAGCATAGCAGGCAGGACTCCAATGCGTTTCTAATATGGGATGGGCATCAAAAGCAGAAGCTTAACCCTTTGTGCCATGATCCATCATCCCCCCCCCCCCCACATCCCTGCCAAATTGGGCCTTTCAAGGACACAGTCCCACCTGACATTTTCTCCCTCTCTGCCTCCCTCTTTTCCATCATGCCTGCTTCTCTCTCCCCTCACACTTCTGGTCTCAGCTTGCTTTCCAGTAGCATCTGCCCTGCCCTCTATCTCCCAGACTAAGTCCACTGATCTTTTACACTTTCACTTTCTAGCCTTTCCTTTCTCACTACAGGCTGCTTCTATAACAGAGTTGCCCCTTTAAGATTCTAAAATTTCCTCTTCCTCATTTGTTTTGTTATTTCTGTGCCGAGTACCCTGCTTGCATCCTTACAAATATTCCAAGTGAGTTGTTTTATACTTAACTCCTTGTTATTTGAAAAATGTTACAACAGAATACTGGCATTGATATCACATTATAACAAGAGATGCAGATGAAGGCTCTCTGTAACAGATTTCACCTATAATACACATAAGCTATGTCATTCGCTTATCCAACCACTCTTTGATTACTGACTCCAGGCATGATTTGAAGTGTACGTCATTGTTGATGCCTTTGTTGTCTCACTCAGTCTAGAGCTGATCTAAACTGTCACATAGCTAACCAACTGGACAAAAGCTCCAATTTCATTTCTAGGCAGGTATCCAGGGCTGATCCATCAGTCTTAAGCAGAAACAGCTCCTATAGGCAAGGCACACCACTAGACTCTGGAGCCCCCCAGCTGACTGAGGGGAGCCAGGGCACACAGGTTCTGCTACAGGGACACTTGCAGCACACCATTGCTCAAGTACTCTGGGGTTATTACACAAACCACCACTGGAGGTGAGTGCCTGGAGAAAGGGCGGAAAGAGAGTGAGGGTGAAAAGACAGTAGCAGGCACATCAAAGTCACAGGGGCCAGGTCAGGACCTTACACTGCACTCCATGGGAGAGTGAAGGGCAGTGGGGGCTAAAAGAGGTTACTTAAGACAAAGGGTAGAAAGGAGACGGGAACTAGAAGCACACTTATTTGCACTTTTCAATGGCTGGCTGGATGGTACAGATTGCCAATTACACTGGTTGTTACAATAGGAAAACACTTCCAGAGTGTTTAGCTCTGAGAGGATAAGATGCTGGTTAAGACATCCAAGATGCCAAATGAGTGCCAGTTCTAATTCTGGAGACCCTGCTTTCCATCCAGCTCCCTGCTTGTGGCCTGGGAGTGCAGTCAAGGACAGCCCAAAGCCTTGGGACCCTGCACCTGCATGGGAGACCTGGAAGAGGTCCTGGCTCCTGGCTTCAGATCAGTTCAACTCCAGCCATTGCGGTCACTTGGGGAGTAAACCATCGGATGGAAGATCTTCCTCTGTGTCTCTCCTCCTTTCTTTGTATCTGTCTTTCCAATAAAAATAAATAAATTTAAAAAAAAAAAACCCAACCACTTCCAAACAGACTGGCAAACACACACAGCCCTTTCCTGCTCCTCCAGTTTCCTCTGGGGAGTCCCCACAAACAGCAAGCTTTATCAAGCAAAAGGCCTAGGGCAACCACAGGAGTGGGTCCCCGTTCTTACTCATGGGTCTCTGCTCTCACAGTTTGTTCAATACTGTTGATATCAGTCCCACCCAGATTTGCCAATCAGAACAGGGACCCAACAACTTGCAAGATGCCCTCCATTTACAAACTTGGAACTTAGGTCCCTCACAAGCTGGGCCCTGCTGTGCTTTCCAGAGCCACACCTTCCACACACATAAACTTTACAGAGTAACACGCCCATGTCATCACCTGTCCTTGATCTCCAGCGGCACCATGTGGGACGCCCCCCAACCAGCAATGCTGCGATTCCTTCCTTAGTCCCTGGGATCCTGTGTAACACTCTGGGGCCTCCTAAGTTGTCACCATCTCTGAGACACTTTGCTCAACATGTGCAAATGGAGGTAGGTACTCCTCTCCCCACCCTCCTGCAACACTTTGTACATGCATGACCTGTGCTGTTTACCCTTTTGTGCCACTTCAGAGACCAATGGAGCTCCTTCAATGGAATGCCATCCCCTTCCAACTGGGAGCTCTGTTTCACTCACCTTAATGCCTGGGTGTCCAGAACAATGCCTGGCACGTGGTTAGCACTCATTAAACTTCAGGTAAACAAAGGCACTAGAGATTTTGTAATTGATTATTGAAAACTCATCCATCAGTTGCCTTCCACTACTAACCATGAGGTCCTACACTTAGCAGAAACAAATCTGAGGCTGTAATTACTTTAAACTTCTTGAAGTCCAGACCCAACTGGAATGATCAGCATTCCTACCGGATCTAGAGGCTGTCAAATGTCTTCTCATTCCTCTGGCCCTTTCTTGCCTCATATGGAGCAACAGCCATGTTCCCTGTTCAGGCACAACAGCAGAAGGGATTCTGACTCCAACACAGGCTGTGCCAAGCTTCCCCTCTGTGCTGTGCTCCCACTGTGTTTTGCAATTTGACTTCTAATTTCTAATACTGAACATATGCTACTGCAGATTATCCCTTCTTGGAGGCTTATTTCACATGTGGTTTTTATTAAATTTGTGCGATTATGAAAAATAAAAGGTCATTCCCTGACGTTTCATCATCATGTCTCTTAGTGTTATATTTCAGATTGCTCAGGGTTTCAGTTGTTTCTTGTGAAAAGTGTGGTCCTAAATTTTAAAAGGGGAAGGCTGCCTTCTCCTCTTACATGCAGCACATAATGTGCTTTGCAAAGCCCTCGATTTCTCGGAGCATAACAAGACATGCATTGACTTGTCAAGCAATGCACTTCAAAAATGAAAAGGAATCAATTACTTTTCTTTTGCTAACTCTATATAGAAATCCTACTCTGAAATAAGAAGTTTGGTTTGTGCTTGATAATTTAGAAACAGAAGGTTGTTTTCAAATATTCTTAAAGCATGCTTCTCTAAGAATAAAATAAGGCCACTGCTCAGTAGAGGGTTAAAAAAACATCCTAGGGCAGGTATTGTGACCTAGAGGGTTAAACTGTGGCCTGTAGTACTACCATACAAGCACCAGATCATGCCCCAGCTGCTCCCCTTTGGAAGGCAACAGATGATGGCTCAAGTGCTTGGGACCCTGCCACCTATGTTGGAGATTTAGATGGAGTTCCAGGACTTCTGGCTTTGGCCTGTGCAAGCAAGAGTCACTTGGGGAACAAACAAGCAGATGGAAGAAAATAATATGTAAATCTAAAAGCAAACAAACAAAGCACATCCCATAGCAGGATGTGAGTTTCATGAAGCCATAGCTCAGGTGTCTTTAGGCTCAGCCTGCAGACCATGCCACGCCCTCCAAGAGCCTTGGTGCCTGGGCTTCCCCATGGCCTTTTAGAGTTGTTTCTCAGGGAATTCACAAGCTTGATCAGCAGACCCTGTTCCATTCACCAGGGAGGCTTCAGTTTAGACTTCTTCATGGCAAAGACATCTTGATTCATCACAGTGCACACTGTCCAGACATCAAGCACAAGGAAGTATATCACACACAAAGCACAAAGCCTTTGTTTTAGTTCTTAACCACTTTGTGGCAGCTGCCACCATTCATCCCAGTCTCACAAATGACTTGGAAAGACTCACCAAGGTTTACATTTCCAGTAAGAAGCTCTCCATGGAGACATTTTATTTATTTGTTTGTTTTGGCTTTGAATTCAACTCACTGTCATAATCAGTAAGGTGTGAATACTAATAATTGCAGGGGTATCACTGGCCTAGTAGTCTAGATGTCAATGTATGGATGCCCATATTGGTAGGCCTGGGTTTGAGTCTCAGCTCTGCTCCTAATGGCAGCTTCCTGCTAATTAGCATCATGGGAAGCAGTAGCTAATGGCTCAAGAAGTCAAGTTCCTGCCACCCGCATGGGGTTCCTGGCTTTCATACCCAACCTATGGGGAGTAAACAAGGTCTCTCCTTTTCTGGCTAACTGACTCTCTCACTCTCTCTGTGCCTCTCAAATAAATACAATTTCCAATAGTATAACGAGAACACAGGTTTGAAAAGGCAGTGAATGTTGTGTGTGACTGAGTGAGTGGCATAAAGGAGCCTCGTGTGAGTCGTGTTAAAGTCCGAGTAACTTTAAGGGGAACAACCTGAGGCAGGAAAGGAATGGATAGAAAAACCACGGCAAACAAATTTCACTCAGTCAGGAAGAGAACAAAAGAAATAGAGCCCTCAGGACTTATGCCAGCAGGTACGTCAAGGAAAATCAGTGTGTCCCAAAGGCCTCACACCCCAGCTTTTCCTACAACTT